CGGTGTGATCTGTCGTAGGGTGTTTTGTTATGTCCATGAAAGACAGGAACTTTTTTAAGGGAACCGTCGCCGCAACCTGCCACTGTCTAACCGGAACTGCCGCCGGAGGGATCGAGAACCGAGGGCAACAACTCAGAATGACGGTATCGACAAGGATCTACTTCGAGGACCGGAATTGGCTCCGGTGTAGATGTTGTCAGGTGCAAGGACGATAACGATGAGCGCAAGCGGTGCTGCGGAGAAGCTTGTTCGAGATTCTATAGGCCCAAGGAAGATGTCAAACGTACTGGCTCGCACGAGTACGAGTTGACTCGCCGGAATTGTATGTTTCGTGTTGAAGGGCTGAAGTTCGATCCGAAGACAGAGAGAGAACTCGACAAGGTAATAGATGAAGTGACACTTAGGATTGACGCAGAGCGTCCAAGTGTCTGCTTGCTAGTGGAGACCCTCAGTGGGATAGCGTCTCCGATGTGGCGGGACCATGTTGAGAAGGTCACGCGTGACTACCCGGACGACTTAAAAAGGCTTTATTGACTGGTTGGTTGACAGACATAAGTGTTTGTGCATCGATCGAAGGAGAGAAATCTGGGCGATGGGTGGAGAGTTGACCAACCAGGGTGGTTCAAGACCGAGTCACACATGACTGCAGACCACTTTTGCCATACATCAACGACGCTGGACGATTCCCCAACATACAAAGCTGTTGGCCAATCATAACATGGGGAGCAGAGCAACCGGCGCCGTCTGTTCCGCGGAGAACGGCTTGGATCAGAATGTCCGGCATGGGGTTAGCACACCCACCCTCAAATCCAGGAGGGCTTTTTATGACGGGTGTTTGGAGGCGGCTAGAAAAATTAATAAGCTCGAAGAGAACAAGCGCGCGGCTGACAAGGAAAGGAGAGAGAAGAAGAAGGCAGCTATCCAGGTTGACGCGTCCATGGAGGATGTCACCAGGTGATGAGGTGATGGAGAAGTGGTTGAACCAGCCCAAGATGGTAAGTTCGCAGACACGTCCAGAACTGCTAGCGACAGTGCACGGCGTTTTGTGTCGCATAGGGGCACGTTTGAGTATACAGTGATACCGTTTGAGTTAAGAGTTCACCCATACTATTCCAGCAGTTTATGGACCGGGTTTCGCTGGGTCAATAACGTG